TGTATGTGGCCGGCTCACGCGTCGGAAAACCTTCCGATTTATTCGTGTACGCACCAGACGGAAAAACAAAAAATATCGTGTATCCACGAGCACTCCAATAAATAAATAGAATTGAAACAACACTTTGAAATATTTTCCCGATGAAAATGAATAATAATAATAAGTTTCAATAAAAATGATAAAATGAAAATTTAATTTTATCATAACGAGTTTGCTTGCATTTCGTTTCTTCTGAGATCGCAGCAATGCGCGACGGGTAAGCTAGTTTTCAAATAAAATTAGTGTGTGGAATGAGATTGGCTTTGACGATTTAAATAATTTTAGTAAAGCGGGCAAAAGACACGAAAATCCTAAATTTCGCATCGAATCTTTCGTAAAATTGAAGCAATTTGGAAATCAAAATAGAGTAGAATTTAAGATTAGTACACAATATAAAATAAATATTGAAAATTATAACCAGATAGTTACGGCTAATAGATATATTTTAATTAGTAGATGTTATCGAAACGAGAATTGGCATTTAGAGGGCGTAGAGAATCTATTAAATCTAATATAACAGAGTTAATTATATTGAACTCGCTTATTTATTAAGTGCGTTAGATAATCTGTTAATTAAAAATACATTTAGAGAAGTCTACGGTTTTACTGGCTTATCGAACAAACGAATACGAATGGACCCTAGACCATCGCTGACTGATTGCCCCTGGAAGTCGGCTTGCTACAAAAACACAGCTTCCCTATCATCAAATGTCACGGCACGCCCTGCTGTCTCGTATTCGACAAATACGGCGCTTCCATTGGGAATATACGATACCAATCTTATCGGTTTTTCACACGTAGTATGGAAATTTGTGATAAGATACGTAATGCGGTTATAATAAAATATAAATTTTAATTAATTTAAAGTACGTTCAAATATGAAAATAATCGCGCAATATGTATTTATATTTTAGAAAATACGAGGGATGCGGCGCTTCCACCGCTTCCAAGGACGGCGCGCCACTGTATTTTATCAATTAAAACTTTAAGACATTAAATTTTCATAACTTCGAAAGGATAAAAACTAGGAAACAAAATACGTTCTGTATAGCAGTTTTTACGTAGTTACTTATGGCTGTCGACAGACGGCGCACGATCGCAGCTATGGCAGACGTTATCCGCCCGTTTTAGGGTAGCGGCGTGTGGGCGACGTCGTTGGACATTGTCAAATGGCGGAGTCGCTGCCCAAGCAGTTTTTTTTCCGGTATCGAGTGGCGGGAGAAGAAAAATGTCAGCCGATGGAAGTACCCGTTCCTCTGAGTGCGTCTCCTGCGGAATTTGGCCACCGACAACTGGAAGAACATGGACTGCCTTTTTACGTGCAAGAAGGTAAACATCGTACGTTTGTTTCTTCCGGTAACGACGACTTTCTATAACAGAAAACTCGTCGGAAGAGTTACAGTTAAAAACTTTTCCTCGCATCACCTATTCCTGTTCTTTGTCTGCGTTAATACGGAGGGCTTCGAGCGCCTTTCCCTCCGAGGCTGCCATCGTACGATCCGTTTTTGCCGGCCCGAGCTTACTGCTTGGCCCTACGCGGGGACCGGGAAATAATGCCTTCCGGTAGGCCTATTCGGGCGTTACGGACCTGGAGAAAATCCGGAAAACTCCACTCGACCGGTCTCTCCGGGCAGAATGCGAACCCGCGACCGAACTCCCGGTGTTCGGGGAACGGAACCGCGTGGCTTTCCTGTGATGCTTGTGTTTATACTTTCTAAAGTCAGGGTACTGCTCTCTGGTGTGAAGGACGTGCGTCCAATCCTCTGTCATTTTGTCGTAGTCTGTTATGGCTTTAGATTTTCCTTTGGCTTTTGGTACCGGTGCAAAATATGCTGTCGTCTCTCCGCGGTCCGTCCTAATCGCCGGGAGGACTTGGAGTGTGGTGCCGTTGACGGTGGATTTCTCTGTCGAATCAGGAAAATTTTATTGGCGGAAGGTTCGAAATTGCTACCGTTGTTTTGGTAAGATTCAAACTCCGAACGGGGTTTCGTAGACTCCTCGTACGAGCAAAAAAGCTGAAGGAACTGTACCCGTATGTGTTGCCAGATATTCGCTTCTGAAGGTTTGTTTTTAACGTGTCTGTATACTGCATATTTTCAGCAGTCTGTGTCGTTCGGGCCTGTGACGGCCGGTCTGGATGGACAATCCGCACGTGGTTGTATGCTTTGGTGTGACGATGGCCGGCACCTCAAACGATAGTAGGCACCTCATTATAGTAGTTGGACGATGTGGGGGTGAACCCCCGCATCGTCCAACTACTATAATGTCGAGTACTCCGCAAACTGTCGAGGGCTACTCGAAGCCGGCAAGGTGGCATGGGCTAAATAGTTAAACATGGCGGTGTTGGCCGAGTGATGCGACCTGCAGTCTCTCAAAGGGTCTCGTGTAGAGGAATGGTTCCTTTGGCTTTTTTGCTCCTACGGGTATGCTCTGTGGCTCTGATGAAGACCTGATCGTCTCCTTTGAGCCATTGTTTCTTGTTTTAAACTACACGAATAGCATAAAAACTTGGAGTTAAAGTTTGCACACCAAAGCTTTACTTATGTTAATGTCTTATGATTAAGTTTAAGGTTATGCTTATGTAACTTGTGAATGGTTGCATTAAATGATGCAGGTTTTGGGTTTTATGTTCATGCTTAATTTTTGTCGTGAATGAGCCTCGGTTCTTGTACCGTTAATGGTTGTTTACAGATTGAAATGACACTGCAAGTAGTGCTTTAATTGTTGGCGGAACCAAAAATTTTAAACTTTTGTCAGGAGCATCCTGTTTTTTAATACGGGCAGGCAGAACTTGTCTCGCCAATGGATGGTTCATAATTTGGATTAAATGATGCATTACCTTTGTTTCTTTATTATTGTATGTTTTAATTGTTTATTTGAACAAAGGAAGATATATACTTAAAACACAATATAAATTAGTTTGAAAAATTGGAAAAATTAGGTGATATTTTTGAGAAAAGAAACATACGTGTTTGTAATCATTTATTAAAGTGTATTTTTAAATGTAGATAATATTAAAATAAACTGATACTAGAGTTTATAATGTGTAATACTACTGCTGTTTTTGCTAATATCTCCTGGCTCTTCCTCGTTATAACACTTTTGGAATGTCTGGAATGTATGAAATCGCCACACTTATCACGTGTTTTGGAAGTGCGTGACTTTTTTGAATAGTGGCAGGACTTATGGAAGATTTTGATTTTTTGGTTGTTGGTTCAAGGTTCGCTTTCTGGCTGCCTGTGGTACAGTGCTTTTGAAAATGTTTTTGTCATTTGGTAAGTATTTTTTTGTTTGAGATTGTTTTCCAAAGCATTGTTTTGTTAGTTGAAGGGCTAGATTTTTTGAGAAAGATTTTCTTTTTGGAGCATTATAAAGATGCGAGGACAAGTACACTATCCACAAATTTATGCTTTCTGTATTGAGTGACTGGAAAAAAATTTCTGTTGGTCATCTTTTTGTTACTCTTGACATACTGTGTGCTGCACGCATTTTATCTATGGTATCTGCTCCTCTTTTGTTTTATTGTCATCTAAAATTCTTTCTGGCTTTCCAGTTTCCTCGTCTATTTTCTTACCATTGTGCACTGTGGAAAATATAATTACACACTTGTTCTTTTTAGTAATGTAAGAAAGAAGTGTTGTTTGTTTTTGGAATCCAAATAGTGAAGATCCAACTTCCTTACTTCTTGTAGGAAGAAATTCTGGTAGAATATTTACTTTAATTTTTTCGGAGGGTGTCTAATGTTGTAATTTTGTTTTTCAAGGACTTTTCGGATAATTTGTAACCGGTGTACTAATATCCATCATTAGATTTTGGTTATGTTTCTTGTAGGGTTTCACTAGACATTGAACAATACTGCTAGGTTTGTTTGACACTTTGTATTACACTTCTGGCTGAGTGCCAATATAAATCTCCAGATTTCCTGTATAAAACATTAGTTATATAATTCATCCAAGAATATTGTCCTCTGAGAGCAATCGACAGCTTGTCAATGGTAAGATATTTGCTCAATTCATAGTTTTTCTGCACTTTTCTAAAAATGTATAAAAAATCGATTGAATAGCTGGGAGTTTTTTACTACATCTTCATTGAAGTCTTGTTCTGTGGTCTTCAAACCACATCATACGAAGAAGAAATGGAAACCTTTTTATCAGATCTCTCAATATTTCAATTTTGTTTGTCTGTTGCCTAAAGTTCCATAACATGTGTGATTATCTTTCTTCACTCCAATCAAGAAAAGAGCTCTGAACTCTGCCATAATTTTCTCTTTGCTTGTAGGCTTGCAATTTTGTGTCATTATATTTATTTTTAGACTAATCAATTTGCAAATTAGAACAGGAATTAGTTTTTTCTATCCTATGTTCTGTGAAAAATTTAAAACATTCACTAGACTCATTAGTAATGTTAAGAGTGCACAACTTTACTCTGGTAAGAATTATGAGAATATTCTTCTGAAGAGTTTTGCCAGAATTAGAAACATGACTTTTGTTCTACTTTGTTTTTCCATCCTTACCAACATAAACATCTCTGTCACTACTATGAGCAGTATCCAGCTTGTTACCATCAGAATCCATGCATTAAATTCACTTTTGTGAATAATTTCTAAAATTTCTTCCACACTTAAATCACCTTCACTTTCTTCATCTATCCCGTTTTTGTCATTTTTCTTTTCCTTATCTTCTGAAAGGTCCTGAAGTATGTAAGGAATGCCTTCTACTTGGATGATATTAGGCCTATAAAAATATTGTACTTGAAATTGAAAGTTAATATCTGTAAAGATCAGTTGTAAAAATGAACAAGTCTTTTCATGTTAGTAAAACATATGAAATAATAAACCAAGTATAATATAACAGTTATAAGATACAATATATACATTATAAAATAAATGTTTGCTTTTATTCAAAAACTAAATATTTTTAAATTCTTGATACTACCAAGCATATAAGTAAAAATTTTAAAAGATGACAGAATTACTTAAATGTTTTCCACAGATACCACTATAACACAAGCAGGTGTGATATGGAGTGAGAACAGGTTATACATCTTTCTTCTAACAACATCAAACAGAAACTGAAAACCAAAACATACCCAACTCCTCTATTGTATTGTGCAGTCATCCCTTCGAGAATACTCCTCCCCTCTAGACTGACAACTTGCATTTGGAGTAGGTGGCATACTTAATAAATAGAAAACTGTCATTAGGATGTGTTCGTGCCTGAAAAAAGGTTAAATAAAGAGATGCACACTAATGTTACTAATTTAAATATTCATATAAAGAAATTGCTTTTTGCCCTTGGTATAATTAAATTAATTAAAAATCTACTAATTAGTGTGAGGTAGATAATAAGGACTTATCACACCAGTGATAATAAGCACAAACACCCAGGTATCAATGGAGTACATTTAATAAAAACAAGAAGGGTGTACATTAAAATCAATTACATTAGCAATTAACATGAAATAACTAAAATGCATTTCGGACTGTCGGAATAGTCCCTCTTCAGTTGGTATACATATAAAAAGGTTATAATACTTAAAATTATACAAGACAAAGGAACCATTATAAAGGTGTGAACATTGAACAGTAAATGGGTGTAGAGAAGACAGGCTTAAGGCGGCTTCATAATATTACACGGTAGCTTGATGTAATGGTTACTATTATAAACAGTATTAAAATTAGTGGAATAATAAGGTAATTATTTTACAAAATGAATTATATCTACATACCATAATAGTAGTAAGATGGAGTTTGAAGGTGGCATTACTACAAGATGCAGAGCAGTTATGAGGGAGGTGTGGTACAGGCAACATCTGGAGAACAAGTGGTGACTAACATTTAATGTACACCCCTTCTCGTTTTTATTAAATGTACTCCATTGATACCTGGATGTTTGTGCTTATTATCACTGGAGTGATAAGTCTTTATTATCTACCTCACATTAGTAGATTTTTAATTAATTTAAATAAATTTTTACATACACATGCTTATAGGCTATATTGTACTAGCTGTTACCTGCGACTTTGCCTGAGGAGGTTTTGCAAGCAAACCCCATTTATATTCAGTATTTCAACAACCATAGTAATTGTTATATAACACCTACAACTGAAAATGATGAGAATTGCTCAAAATCAAACAAACTACAGTAGAGCGTCAATTTTCCGAATCAATTGGGGACTGGGGTTGTCCGGATAACTGATATTTCGGATAACTGATTTACGTACGAAAAAATAGTTTAACGTATCCGATGTCGAAATTTTTCTCNACCTAAACCATTGCATAATTACAAATTTCCTTTTAATGACACTGGTCGACATTTTAGCGTAAATTA